GGCCACTTCGTTGAGCTATCATTTGTGATGGCCAAGTAGCTTCTGAAAAATAACTTTATAGCTCAGTGGGCCTTACCAGGTAAGATAAAAAAAAGTTCAGTTTGTCAGTTTTCTCCCAAAATATTGCAGATTCCTCCCACACGAAGAAAAATACTTGGCCAAGCGTTCAATTAAAAGAACCCTCCTGAAATAGGTTCGAGACCCGGCGAAGGTTCACTGGTTATATACAATTGTAAATGTAAAAGGTGCAGCCTTGCAATTTCTTGCTTACGTTACTGCTGGTGGAAGGGTCTCAATGAGAGCGAGCTTGAGAGGCGTTTTTTAAAAGACGTGAGCACTCCTTCCCCCACACCTCCGATTACCACGGTTGGCTACATAAGGTGCGAAAAAACTTCAACACATACACACATCATGGGACCTCTTTTTTGCCAGTATAAAAATATGCAAAACGTGAATATGTTTTGCCCTTTCTGGCAATGGGAAACAGGCGTTAAGATGTTCAAAACCAAATAGATGCGTTTTGCAAGGAATCAAGTGTGCATTAACCACACGTACTTGTGGTGAACATGCAAACAGACATGCTCTGATAATGTGCATTGTCCTTGAAAGTGATTGGCCTACACACTACACTACACTTGACCGCACCACATGAAATCTGCCTATCAACTGTGGTATAGCCATTTGTACTGCTGGGTGGACAGAAGCGGTTGGGTTGGGGGGGGGGGGATTTGAGAAACTTTCCCAATGTTTCAAACGAGGGATAAAAACTGGCATCCTCTCAATTGCAAGCCCTGTGTTACTGACCATTACCCCTCTGCGGTGTCCTCGTGAATGTTAAGGCCATATTTTTTTGGCATCAAAGACCCTGCCGAAAAAGTCTTTGAGACTCAGCATGGATTCAATGGTTAAACAAAAGGCCATCATTGCAATACAAAAAAAACACACTTTTGCTCTTTTATGTGTTACATCAGAGAAGTAAAAAAAAAATCAAATATTCCGACAACAGCAAATTAATTGGGTCCACGTACAAGTGGTCAAACAATCGACGTGATTGAATTAAACAAATGTATGCCTTCACGAAGGTATTGGACACATCATCACACTCGGTGGCACAATCCAAGATGGCAGACCGAATTTTAATGTGAAGCGTACAATACAGTAAATACACCGATCACCGCGCACACACACACAAGTATAGTAGGGTTGTGCGGTAAACAGCTCCCTCTTTGTCCTGAAGTGTTCACACGCGGTTTTGCCTGTTCAGCTGCAGTAACCGGCAGCAGCAGGTACTTCAGAGGAGGGCACAAGTCGCCACCTCGAGCTGATCATGGCTGACGAAATCACTTCTGTTGGCACAGGGGGCTCGGCAAAAACCAAAATAACCAAAAGGACCATTTTTTCCCCCCCCCTCGAATTCCGTAAAAAAAAGCTCAATATTTCAACAGCCGCAAATGCATGCGGTGAATACGAGACCGGTGGTCCTTGATAAATAACGTCACGAAGCAAGGTCCATAAAGAGCCACAGCTCTTGCCGACCCGCTGTGTTAGCACCAAGTCAAAGAAAGACATTTTACCCCACGTCTGGCGCGAACCTGCCACATACCCTACAAACCGTTCTCGTGTGGGATTATCAGAGGGGCAGAAATTACTACAACAACAACAAAAAGTAGTTCACGCGCCGCCCGTGTAAAAAAAAAATAATAAAGTCACGACGACATGTTCAGCAACACGTAATGGGGACAAAAAAAAACTTTTAACTTAATACGGAGTGTATATATAGGCATTTTTGTTTTTAAGGTAAGTACTTATACTCAGAAGCAAACAGGGCAAACAATCCTATATCATTGGCACTGACACACAGTGGTGGTGCAATGCGTTAACAGAGGTGAGCGACAGCGTTACGGCTCAAAGCGGGTCACGGGGAAGCTAAACTCATGAACGCGGAACGCAATTTATATATCGGCTCGAATTCAGATGCAGTACTCGAAAACAAACCCAAAAAAATGCACGTCACCTAAAACTGTGAATATGATTTCTCGTTTCCACCTCATTACACATCTTTGTCTCTTTTGCTTGCATCGCTCTCATCTCACTGCATCTCTAGAACTCTTCTGTAGTCTCACTAAGGAGTAAAAACATACATTGGAAATGGGGGCGGAGGGGGGGAGGAGGCCGACAAATTCATAACGGTTTTATGGGTTAGATCGTGTTAATGTAGATGTGTCGTTAACCCACCACCACCCGACACAGCCAATTCGTCACGATGGTGGTTTAACAGCACATTAATTTTTTACGCGATTATGAATATTGGTCGCGAAAGTCTACGAGGTGTTAAACAGCTCTACAAATGTCTGTTTAGAGACCCCCCCCCCCATCCCATGTGCGAGCTCCACCACTGCTCGTATAGCCTGTAACAGACTGTTGGGGCAAGTGCCGTTAGCGAGCACCTATGAAGGCCGGCACGGCACACGAGGGGCTGGATGGCCAACACCACGACCGGCCGCCTTTGTCTCCCTTGTGGCGATGTTTACAAATTTGAGGCTGAGTCGACCTAGGGGATGCCCAGGACCGGTTCGGATAATCCTCACTGGTGTTGGCCGTGAGCGGGAATCGAACCCGTGTCGCCAGATTCGTAGTGCAGCGCGCTAACCACGACACTACCGCTCCTCTGTACAACAACACACACACACGTTGTATTCGTCTGAACATTTCACACGCCTTTTTGCGTGACCATTGGCCCATATCCAAAACACCCGCACCTTTTAAAAATGTTTGGTCGGGGTGTTTCAACTGAGCCCATCATTCCTGTCCGTGGCTGGTAAATGAGTTGCCACTTTTGGGAGAAGTGCACGTTGGGTGTTCTATGAATAGGGTGGCTCCTGCCGTGGGAATGGAGAATTGACACTCCTGGCTGCAGGGCCACCAAGTGAGATGAGCACCACCCAACAACCCATCTGCGCGGACGATACATTGTATATGCTTTGTAATTAATGGCACATTGTGAAAGGTATCGTGGAGTTTTTGATCTCCATAAAAAATGAAACTCCTGACTTGCGTGATTTTGGTGTGCATTGATTGTTGAATTTAGCGTATACCGGATTGCCCTGTTTCGTTCTGGTAAGTTACCGTAAATCGCTAGATGCCTTAAGACGTTGCGGAGAGTAAGACGCCGCCTGAAACCTGTACCCAATGTTAATAACGTCATACAAATCTGGTCACACACTTCCAGGATAAAAAAAAAGACACCCGACTCCACAACCTCCCTCTCCCCCCAACATCTGAATAAAACTCAGGGTGGAATGTGCATCTTTTTGATCCGGAGAGTCCGGTAACCGCTCGCCACGCTGTGAAGAACACGGCAGCATGCAGGATGCATTTACACGTGAAGGTCAAGATCAGGCCCTGTGGTGGGGTGGGAAGGTCTGATGCTCTACAACATTTCTCAGGAACATGCAGTGACGTATCGTGCAGCAGCCACCTAAAAAAATGACCAATGGGATTGCGCGTTGAAATGTAAATTAAAACTGGACTGGGATTTTTTTTTTTCAAAGCCATCTGTCATCAATCAGGGACTGCTGCCACAAACGTGGGACATTTATATAAGCATTGTTTAACTACGGGGTTTTTATTACCCTAGGAAAGAGGCTAGCAATTGGTTCGTAATCTTTAAGGACGTACAAATAAAATAACCATGGGTTCTGGGCTTTTCATCGAGGGCATATCCTTAAATCGAACCGGTGATTTTGTGAGACGTACAATGCTTAATAATTACACCATTTAAAGCCAATTTGTTTGAGTATTCAACAGCAGAGGAGCTGGATATAGGTAGACCGTATATAAGCACAGTTTTTGATATAAGCAACACATGGTTAGAACATTAAACTGATCGGGGGGGGGGCAGGCGGAGGGCAACTTCTGATATCAACACAGAACGCCTGGCTCACAGTCAGTGTGCTCATATCCAGCTGCTGCTGTATTCCATTTTCCAAATCTTTATGAGCATAAATTCTTCAGTTGGCACAGCACTTTATAAGTTTTAAAGAATAAAACGACAACCACAGCCGGTTTAAATTAAACAAATAAAATGCGTCAATACTTTTATGTGTATATAATATATATACGTTATTGGTCTGTAAGCGGAAAATATATTTTGTCTGCACTGCTAAGGCGAATACCCCTTGTTGTCACACTTCTGAAAGGCAAATAGGTGGGCAGACGAAACGATTTTAAATTTTCTGAAGTTACGATACGGAGTTGATTATTATTAATATTACATTGCAGGTTCGCGAGAGACGGCAGCAGAGCAGCTTGGGGAAGGCCAAGCGGTAGATTGACCAAGGCTGATATTCCCACAATGCTTTTCCATCTTTATACGCGTTGAACTTTTTTTTTAAAGGTGCGGGTGATAACTTTCATACAAAGGGTTTGTGTTTTTTTTTTATTCCAAAAGTAATGTTAACATCACAGTGATTGTGCTTTAAAGCTTTCGTGACTGCAGGGATTCATATTCTTGGTTCTTTCGGTAAAGTCACGTGAACCAAGAACACCACAGTGATTGTGAATGATAAACAAGCAATAGGTACAAACAGTTGTTTTGTGTTGATCAGATAAGCAACGATAACAGTGAACTTTTAAAACAGCTATGAAAAAAATCACTAATTAAAATAATGTAAAAAAATAAACGGTCCCTAATGTCAAATTTTACATATACTCTTTGGGTCTTTTGGTAAAGTCACGTAGATAGAAAAGTAATAATTTAAAAAAATCACGACGTTTCGATCGCAACACAAGCAATCAACTTCAGGTGAGAGATTGCTTGTGTTGCGATCGAAACGTCGTGATTTTTTTTCTATCTACTTGACTTTACCTAAAGACCCAAAGAGTATGCATTCCTGCAGTCATGAAAGCTTTAAGTCTAAATTTGACATACTTAAGAATAACTTGAAATAAAAATGAAATAAATATGAATTTAATTTTTTGCAGTTGATCCTATTTTTTTCCACAACTCTTTAGAAGATAACCCACCGATAATGAAACCACTAAGTTTAGTACGAAAACAACGTTCACTCATCATTAAGTTAAATGATTGATAAGCCAACACAAATGTTCACAGTTACAAATTAGGCATAATATTCACCGACTTGTTTTCTGTATTGTGGTAATTCCGGAAATACCAGGGCACAGGAAATATTTTGCAACGACTGTCATATTAACTGCATTTACATCAACTGCAAAGTCTAAACGTCAATCTTAATTTGTAAACCAACTTCCAGAAATGCATTTAAGCAGTTTAGCATAAGGCTTTGTATCAGCATGGGCGTTAAAAAAAACTTCTCATATCAAAACACAACATTTTATCTCAAGGTGAAAACATTTACAATCTACGTATTTTTTTTTCCAATTAGGGGGATTCAACTGTGTTGGTTGCAGGAAAACAATTCACAGATTAGGAGTTTGTCACGTTTAATATTGGGCTCGTGTATAATTATTAACAGTCACCTTCAATGTCACCAGAAATGAATAATCACACGTTGCTGTAACTTAGACAGCAGGTGCTGTAGGAGTTTAACAAATAAAAGTTTAACAAATAAAAACAATGGTTCACTCAGTCTGTTAAAAGGTAAAGGCGCAGTCCTACAATTGCTTGATATCTCCATTGCAGGCGGAAGCATCTCAACTCGAGGGCGCTCGAGAGGGTAAATTCGGTCTATTCTACCCACAACGCATGATCAACCAATCAACTGAGTGTGGTGTACCCATTGATGGTTCTTGGTGAACAGTGGGGGAGGGGGGAGGGGGTGCATTCCCCTTTCCCATTTCGATGACGTACGTTTACGTCGTCAGCTTTCGCGTACGTCATCGAAATGGACTCGGAAGTAAAAGGTCACGCGGGAGGGCGTGTGGCACAGTTCTGGCACCAGCTATCGTAGAGTGCGGTCATGTCACTACAGGTCTCTACGGCGCTACGCCTTTCTAGATAAATGAATGCTAACCCCTTGCGCGTCTCGAGATTCAGCGGTGAACGGGACAACCCACCCTGTAACTAGCAGACGTCTCGGAATGGGAAAGGGTTAAGAATAATTACGCGCACCATTTTTTGCGATGACCTCTAAATCGCAAGTCCGATGCGCTGACCCATTACATCACTGCGGCAGCATCGTGTAGAGCTCTATGATGCACACCGGTTCATTACGGTTGCGCATCGGAGACAAAATCACTGAAGCAGTTTCAAAAGTTACACATCCTCTTACAAAAAAATGTCTCATCTCCTTCATCAACCACGTTGACATGTCTTTGAGAAGGTTGCTGATGGCAGGGCTACACATACTGTGAACCGACACTTCAGCAATGCAGACCTAAGAGACCGTGCATTTTATGCTGCGCTAGACATAATTTATGTCCCAAAGGCAAGGCCTTTCTGAACTTCTCCCCTCAACCACCCACGACATGTGCATCTCTTAAAGTTTACCAATTTATCTCATCTGTATATCTCTAAACCAGCTCAAGCCTCCTGTAAATCACGTGACCCCTGTGTGGCCACACCGACTCTGAACCCTTCCCCCCCTCTTCCCGTCGCTGGTCCCCTGTGGAAACAGACGCCGCTCCCAATCCTCATCTTCCCCTGATGCATTCGCGACCCCGTTTCACTCTTCCCTTTCCGTCCCTTTTACTCCCTCGTCGCTCATTCATTCGCTTCTCTCTTTGCCTTTTTTTTACCCCCCAATACATTAACATCCCTTGGCTCTACTCTCCTTTCCCGTGGCTTGCCGTTGGTGAATAGCTAACAATGCAAATGGAATTTCTAAACATTGCCAGTGCCCGACGATTGGGTGACCATGTCCATTATGACACGAAGAGCCAATTACAACGTAGACCCCTTTGTGCAAAAAAATGGGTGCACTTGGGATATGTTCCCGATTTATGAATCCAAAAACTCTCAGGATTCCATTCTGTCTATGCAATTTGGGATTATGCGTCTCTTAATTGTATTCATCAGAACACATGACATCGCGACGGAAATTCCTACGACACGCAATGTAATGTTTCAAATTAAATGATGGGACTATACAAGTGTTTGCATCAAAGTATAGTTCTACCAGTGTGTGTCAAACACTCCCATGAAGAATGTTTAAAAACATTCGAATTCTCACATTTAACGCATACAAAAAGTTAAGTTATAAATTGGATACATTTAAATTGGGCCTAAAATTTTAATGTAAAAAAAAGGAATACTAAACTCATCCCGAGCATGCATGCAGAAGAGACGAAGACAGTGATTGGTTTAAATTAAGATCGAGATTTACCGTTAGTGTGTCTACCTGTGCGTCTCACTTACTGTATCACCGGGATGCTCTGACAAACACGTGAATTGCCCCTCTGTCACATGGAACATGTTTACCAATCGCAGTGTGCAACAACTCAATTTGTGTTTGGATGGGGATACATCAGTCAAACTTGGGAAAACACAGCGGTGGGTTGGTGAGAGTGGAAATAAGGAATCCGTTTTCCAAGTGTAAACATAAAACGTTTCTAAAATGTGCATTTAAATTCAATGTTCTCATGATAACAATTTTCATTTGCTAAACATTACAACATACCTTTTAAGTTTATTTTAACCCATGTAAAATCACGACATTTTCCCAAGAACTGTGTTTCTAATTGTGCATTAAAATGGCTAAATTGTTTGAAAGTTAAAGTTGTGCTAATGCTATAGATGAATTTCCGTATTTAACAAAAAAGATACAAAACAGACCCAGACAAAGTACAAAAAACAGCTACATCGTATGTACAGTGGGGGGGGGGGGGGGGGGGTGTTTGGAATAATCCGTTTTTGTAGACAATTGACTGAAAACACAGGATAATAATGTCATGTACAGGAATGCTGTGTTTTATTTCGCATGGTGGAGAATTGGCATTTTATCTTGAATTACTGGCCCGAGCCAATTTGCATAAGCGTGTCAACGGTCAGTGTTTAAAAGCAAGGAGTAATTTAATGAATTATTAAATAAGTACGCAAACTTCGTGCGTAATGCATGTTTCCCTCACTTTAAGCAGGTTAGATTATCGTGATTTCATGTAGCTAACCTATTTATACTCGAAATTTGCTGAAATGCTGTTTGAATTCACTCCTACACGCCTATGCCTTATTTTTTTTTAAATGCATCTACTGCGACCGCACAAAGCACGGGGACACCTGCACATCAAGTTTGAAACCTCGATGGTGGCAGTGGTTCACCGTTAAATTTAGATTTTACCCCCCCCCCCCGACAGAAAATAAAATATGCCGCTTCAATGATGTCCTCATCGGTTGCGCAAATATCACAAGGTTGAGGTTAATCGCTTGGCGCCAGCACTCCCATTGCTGACGATAATTCAAGATCAAGTACAAATGTCGTTGGAAATGTGTGAATGGCACAAACTCAGAGGCAAACCTGGTTGTAAGGATGGCCGTTGCGTTCGTGAGGCTTTAAATGAATAGCATTGAACTAAATCCATTTTTTAAAAAAAGGGTTTCATTATACTCTCCGACAGAAATTGACCCGTAAAATTTGGCATTTTCACGGCACAGTTAAGTGTTTTATCCGTGAGAAGATGACACTTAAACGTGGTTAAAATAAAACACACCTCAATATTCGTACCTCGTGGCAGGATTCCATAATTTTGTAGTCGGACTGCTGCACTACATTTGTGTACGGTAAGATACAGAAATACATAAATGTTGACGATATGATGATTCCCGCGATATCAGTTTCCCATAACTTTGTAACTGTATTTATTATTGTTATTGGGTTTTTTTGTGCTTTTGCTGTGTCATTCCGGTATGATTAAAGATTAACTTGAAAAGTCCTTCAATCGCAGGTTCACTCAACTCCAACCGGCGATACGTCTTTCTCAGCGTTACACTCTATAACGCGTATAACACACACACACACGCTGTCAGTTATACAGGAAGGAATTGGTTAATGAGACAGACTTTAAAAAAATGTCACATCCTATAACCGCTATGGAGTAAAATACTCCAAGACGATGTTTCGAAAACACTCATTCAATGGTTAATATGTATTTATTTGGAACATTAATTATTGTTTGTTATTTCACAAATATTTCGTGAGGAAATGAAATATATAAAGTTAAAAAATAAAATAGCCAACGGTAACCACTATGTGATGATATTTTGCACAACAGACGCTATGGTTATCACGATTCCTAGATCGTACGATATATCCTAGTAGAGCCACATCGTGGAAACATTACCTCGGAGGCAAGGGTTGGTGTGGACCACGCAGACTTTTAAACTCCCCGACCCGACAGGATGTCAAATGTCCCCAGGGAATGGCGGGATGGGTTCTTAAAGAACCCATCTGTACGGACCTTCGAGTGGCATAAACTTCCTCGCACGACAAGACCTTTCTGCCCACACACACAACACCCATTGACGAAAGGAACTGAGGAAACATCCCAACGCACGTATCCTCTTTCAAAGCATCGTGAGACACATTTTGGCTTTTGTGGATCACAAAAAAAAAACCCCACAACAAATTGAACCAAAAAGCTAAGACGTGTGTGACCAACTCATACAAAGAAACAGAGCCCGGGGAATAACGAAAACAAATACTTCCACTGCTGTTAAATACAAATCTTTGACGCAATCGTATTCTTTACAAACCAGGTTTGCACGTGTGGTGTGTACGGATGCGCGTGTATGTTTGTGTTTCGTGTCCGCCTGTGTGAAACCGTGGAGCAGATTGCTGTGTACGTGTGTCTGTGTGGGCACGTGTGTCAGCAGGGAGCTGTCCTCGGTGCTGATGCCCTGTGCAGGCCACGCGTACAGGCGTCCTGTAGCTTCCCATGCCTACGTCACCTCTGTGATAGAAGTGGCGTGGTTCTGGTGGGAGGTTGGGGCAGCAGAAAACACACACACAAGGAGGACAAATCAGGCACATGCTATGGCATTCTGTTCAGATTTCACGAAATCACTCGCCCTCGGAAGTATTGTTTAAAGCAGTACAGTAGCTGATGGGTAGCTGTCAGAGCAAAGAGCATTTTCATTTTTGCAAATTGTCCTTTTTGCTCCGGTTTGTCGTGCAACGCTTTGGTAATTTTGTCTGGTTTTACATATGGTAAGGCCCTAGGAACGACACCACTTATAAACTAAAGTCGCATTTAAATTGGAACAGCTGCGAGACTTCATATGGGTCGCTGCGTGAGTCTATTGGTCCCTGCGTTAATCTTTGGGTCCCTGTGAGTACATTGGTATATGTGTAACTCTATGGGGTTACGTGTGAGTCTATTGGTATTGCGTGAGTTTACGGGTCTCTGTGTTAGTCGATGGATCTCTGAGTCTATGGATCTTTATGTGTGAAGCTATGGGTCTCTGTATTAGTCTATAGATCTCTGTGTGACTGTGTGGGTCTCTGTGTATGTGGATCTCTCTGGGTCTCTCGCCACCGTGGTGAGATGTTAATTGCATCGCCTGGTGTACAGGAGGTTCATGGGTTCGACCCCGATGCTACTGCCTGTATATTTGGAGTTTGCAAGTTCTCCCCGTGTTCACGTGGATTTCCCTCTGGGTCCTCCAGTTTTCCCTTCACATTGAGTCGACATGCGCTTCGAGTATTTGGCTGCTATACCTTTCAGCATGATCATGTATTCCACTTCATTGAGCTGTCATTTGTGATAACCAGGTCGCTTCTGAAAAAGAGCTAAATAGCTCAGTGGGCCTGACCTGGTAACAAACATATATATTGTAGTTAAATAGTTACTAGAGCCTGTGTCCACTGTGAGGGATCTGCGGGGAAACTAGTTGGAGTCATTCACAAGCCAGACAAAGATTTATAGCTGCTACTTCATCCACATCCGCATGAAAGCAGAAGAATGAGATTCCAGGTTGTTCGAGCGGTGTCATTGGTGAATAAACGGTCTCCAAGTTTGGTACCTCAAAACAGAGTTCTGTGGCCTGTCTGATCTTGTTTATATTTGGGATACGCTGACCAGATAGGTTCAGAGCAGTTCACTCGTGCTAGCTTTCGAGGCACATCACACAATAATAATATTATTCATAATAAAGGTTTTTGGGTTAGATCGCGTTTATTTATGAATGTGTCGTAACCCTCCACCACCCGACACGGCCAATCAGCAAAAAAAAGTGTCACGTTGACAAAAAGACAAATAATTCACTACTTTAGCCCACCGGTGTGTTGAAGAGTGAATCCACATTTACAGTTTGCCTACATGTTAAACTGAATATTATTATTATCACTATATTTAAGTGGTTTCTCAATGAGCATAGGGAGATGATTATATTCTGTTTAAAGCCCTGAGCCAATTGGGAGAGGGAAAAAAATTCCACGTTCCTATGACAGGGGTGGTTTGAAGCAACAGCACAGTGCTTTATAGTGCATTGCACTTTGAAATTGACAACCCAAGTTTGATTTCCGGTCACGGCTAACATCAGTGGCATGTGATATCCCGACCAATCCCAGACATCCCCTTCAACAACACGCACTGAGGGGCCGTCCATAAATGACGTCACGCACCTGGTGGGGGGAGGTCAGACATTTGTGACGATGTGTGACGAGGGGGGGGGGGGGGTGAGAAATGTGACGTCACATCAAAATTCGCAACTTTAAATAAATATAGAATTGTTATAACAACACTAATTGTTACAACAACACTCCTACAACATCAGAGTGCAGCACCACATTAAATACACACTACAATGACAATAGTTTAAAGCGATTTGAAACATGTTTTATTTTCAAAATGGAAAAATGGTTTTGGGGGGGGGGGGGCAGAGCTTTGTGAGGTCATACTTGAGGGGGGGGTTTGACTGTTGTGACGCCATGTGACGAGGGGGGGGGGGGGGGTCAAAAATCGTCCAAAAAATTGCGTGACGTCATTTATGGACGGCCCCTGACCAGCATGGTGAAGTATATCCAAACAACCCCCCATGATTTAAAGATGTGTATAGTAGGGTATAGTAGTGTATAGTGTAGTGTATAGTAGTGTATAGTGTAGTGTATAGTAGTGTATAGTGTAGTAGCGTATAGTAGTGTATAGTGTAGTGTATAGTAGTGTATAGTGTAGTGTGTAGTAGCGTATAGTAGTGTATAGTGTAGTGTATAGTAGTGTATAGTGTAGTGTATAGTATTCAAACAACCCCCATGATTTAAAGATGTGGGGAGGGCTTCATCCAGCAGTGGATTAAGGGCTCGACATTACATGACAGATGCAGGTCTTGTATGTATGAATGTTGAACTTCCCCCAGTTTAATGTCGTCTCTCATCTCTCGTCAGCTGTTATCATGATGTGTCCTGCCCCATTTACACTTGATTTCCCTTTGCTTCAACAGTAAAAGGAACAAGAGTTTTCATGAAAAAAATTTACAGCAAAGGGAAATGTACAGCTTTTTAAATTGTTTCTTAATTAACGGCCATGTGTGTATACGTGCGTTGAACTTCTTTCCCACTGTACGTAGCCGACCGTGATAATCGGAGGTGCGGGGGAAGGACAACAAACTAAAAACACAAAGCAGTTCGAAATAAATTAGTTTTCAATTTAGAATAACAAGAAGCAGTTGGCCTTTCTACACAACAATACATATTTTATATCACCCTCCAGAGATGAAGGGCTAATGACTCTCCCTGGCCTAGGATTTAAGTTTATAACTTTCCATTTGCGAAACACTACACCACTCAGAGTACTGATGTGGCATGAGGTACATCGCTGTATGTACTTTATAGAGATATCCGTTGAGTGAGAAAATAATTTTTCCACAATATGTTTTTTTTTTATAAACACCATTTTCACGAAGACCCCGGGGCCGGTCCAGGACACGCTGGTGGAACGATGTCGCTCGGCTGGCCTGGGAACGCCTGGGAATTCCCCAGGAAAAGCTAGAGTCTGTGTATAGTAGTGTAGTGTATAGTGTAGTGTATAGTGTAGTGTATAGTGTAGTGTATAGTAGTGTTGTGTATAGTGTGGTGTATAGTGTAGTGTATAGTAGTGTTGTGTATAGTGTAGTGTATAGTGTATTGTATAGTGTAGTGTATAGTGTAGTGTATAGTGTATTGTATAGTGTAGTGTATAGTGTAGTGTAGTGTATAGTGTAGTGTATAGTGTAGTGTATAGTGTAGTGTATAGTAGTGTTGTGTATAGTGTAGTGTATAGTGTAGTGTATAGTGTATTGTATAGTGTAGTGTATAGTGTAGTGTATAGTAGTGTATAGTGTAGTGTAAAGTAGTGTAGTGTATAATGTAGTGTATAGTGTATTGTATAGTGTAGTGTATAGTGTAGTGTATAGTAGTGTATAGTGTAGTGTAAAGTAGTGTAGTGTATAATGTAGTGTATAGTGTATTGTATAGTGTAGTGTATAGTGTAGTGTATATTAGTGTGTAGTAGTGTATAATGTAGTAGTGTATAGTAGTGTATAGTGTAGTAGTGTGCAGTAGTGTATAATGTAGTATATAGTAGTGTAGTGTATATTAGTGTAGTCGTGTACAGTACAGTAGTGTATAGTGTAGTTTAGTAGTGGATAGTGTAGTGTATAGCGTAGTCTATACTAGTGTATAGTAGCGTATAGTAGTGTATAGTGTAGTGTATAGTAGTGTATAGTATAGGAGTGTATAGTGTAGTAGTGTAGTGTATAGTAGTGTATAGTGTAGTGTATAGTAGTGTATAGTGTAGTGTATAGTAGCATATAGTAGTGTATAGTGTAGTGTATAGTAGTGTATAGTGTAGGAGTGTATAGTGTAGTAGTGTAGTGTATAGTAGTGTATATTAGTGAAGTAGTGTATAGTACAGTAGTGTATATTGTAGTTTAGCAGTGGATAGTGTAGTGTATAGTAGTGTATAGTGTAGTGTATAGCGTAGTCTATAGTAGTGTGTAGTGTATAGTAGTGTGTAGTAATATTGTGCTGGAGGTCTGGACCGTCCTACTCAGCACGCTGCCGCAACGATCCTCACCAGGACAAACGGACTGAGAAACGAACGGACGAACCATTTTAGATTTGGAATATACTTTCTGCTGGTGCACCAAATCATTTTTTAAATCACAGATATGAGAGCTGCGTGCATACATGCACTAGATATATTCATGCTATTTCTTACACTTTTTTTATTTTACTTTGTGGGCAATTGCAATTGATCACTCTCCTTTCCAGACTGTAAGTTAAAATGTATTTATGGTTTTTTTTTTTTGCATGCGGTGCATTCTATTGGCCTTGCATCCTTTGTGCTGGTTGTACCGTGCTGTTGTGCGACCTTGACATTCGTAACCCGACCATGGACAGCTGTTTATGAATTGCTTTTGTCCGCGTTTTTTTGTTGCTGTTGTAACGAGGTTTCTACTGAGTAACCAGTTCCCCATCGAAAATGGGCATTTATTTCCCCGTGGCTTTCACCTGCGCCGAAATAAGCCGGCAACCCTATACTGAGCACGTACACACGGGAGACGCATATATGTTGAACTTCTTTCGCACCGTACGCATTCAACCGTGCTCATCGGAGGTGCGCGGGAAGGACAACAAACTGAACACGAAAAGCAATTCCAAAGAAATGTCCTTTCAAACGTGAGAGTGTGCGGGCAGCACTGTACGATATCGCTCTAGAATCTGCGAGCAAGGCGGTGTGTCTAACCGGGCAATGTGCTCACATGAATTCAAATTGTGCTAGCTTTGCCAGCGAAATTCGACGTGATGTCACACAATGTCACATCGCATGCAGGGCACACGAACACAAGCATCCATGTCTGCGCATGTGTGAGTGCGTGAGTGATTTATTAATTCACCAAAACGCACACCTCATCAGTGTAGAAAGTAGCGCTTATTAATTGAAGGGTCTTCTCATCAACATCATCGGCCATGATCGACTCACTGCTGGATGAAGGATGTCACTATATCCCCTTTGGCCTCGCTATGCAACAATCCACAAAGCTGATACAGACGATCGGGCCATGTACAATGCTTTTAAAAACGTTCTTCGTTGGGCACATTGTTACATTGCTTCTAAAATCACTCCAACCTACGCTTACCGACCCCTTTGTTCCACCATTTTGATAAGGGCCCACCTTCAGTAGGCTAAACAGGGGTATTCTCACTCCGACGGGTGTTCCAACCATGTCCCTCACACGGTTACGTTGCGTTGCTTCGGGAACTTGCGGTACCTACATTTGCCTTCTTACCTCAGTCATATCCTCAGGTTAATGTCCATTGGTAACCGGTGACAACCAGCCAAAAAGGCATCGCCACATAATGGGCAACCTCGCCCAGAAAAGGTGATAAAGGCCCGGGGCCCTGCAATTTCACGCTCGCTACCACTGCTGGCGGAAGGGTCTCCACTTCAGGGGAGCTCTGGAGATACCTTGGAAGAGGTGAGATTACCCCACACTTTGCCCCACCATATGTGGCCTGTCAATCGACTGCAGTGTACCCATATACGCTGGCCGAGTGGACAGAGGCTGTGGTGGAGGGGTTTTAATAAACCTGTGACGTTGTTTCAACTTCCACGCCGGGAGAGTGAACCCGAGCCCCTCCGGATTGCCATCCCAATGTGCTAACCACACACGGAGGCAGCATTTGACCTTGCATGCGCTGTTATTAAATTTCGCTGGAAAGTAACGCTTAATGAGTCGGTCCGGTTGGACATGAAGATGGTCACCGCATCACGCGGCGCTTTCAGATGCGCTTCTGTGGGCGTCTGGAACGCTTCTTCCTTCGGATATTAGGAATCAACATAAGTTATTCACTTTTAAATAATCTCGATCAAACTGCTTGTTATTGTGTTTAGTTTGTTGTCCTTCCCCCCCCGCCACACCTCCGATTAGCACGGTTGGCTATGTACGGTACAAAAGAAGTTCAACATACATACATACATGAATACTTTAACCCTTTCCCGTTCCGGGACGACTGCAAGTTGCAGGGTGGGTCCCGTTCAGCATTAATTTTATTCTGATAGGCATAGCGCCATTGTTTTTAAAGACATTCTACTCACCGCAGAGAACTGTAGCGACACGACCAACACAGCCTACGATAGCTGGCGCCAAACTGTGCCACGCGCTCTCCCACAATGGCCTTGTGGGAGCCTCGGTACCGATAAAGTACATTTAAATTTTTATTTAAAGCTTTCGTGACTGCAGTAATTCATATTCTTAGTTTTTTCGGTAAAGTCACGTTGAAGAGAAACAACAAAATAATAAAATATATATTTCATTATTTTGTTGTTTCTCTTCAACGTGACTTTACCGAAAAAACTAAGCATATAAAGTACATTTATTTTGGGGTTTTTTTTCCCCCCCCAATTCCGTTCCGATGACGTGCACGATGACGAACACGACGGCGTGCACATTCGTCGCCGAAAACGGGACCGTAAGAAAAAAAAGCCTACGACGTACACGTACATACGTCACCGGAACGAGAAAAGGGTTCAGCCAGCGAGAACAGCGCTGGGGTTTCTTCAGCCAGCGGCGGACCCGGTCAGGCTGTCGTGTTGCGCGGCGGGTGACGTGAAGTACCTGGGCGGTGTTGCGGGTGTCAAGGGGGCTCTCGACACGTGGCAGGACCAGCAGCGACATGCCGTAGGCCGCCTCGTGCCGGGGCTTTGCCGCCAACACGGACTGCCGGCGGAAGTTGTGAACGACGCAAAAGCCCTGCGAGCGAGCGGAGACATTTATGAAGTCGTTAATTCATTCGTTCGTTCACGCGTTCGTCAATTGTTCATCCACGGACAGTTCACGTAAATTGTAAACGGTGCAACATCCCTGCTAGGGAGCAAAGCCATCCATTTGTTCATTCGTTAGTTCATTTATTAGTCCAATTGTTTGTTCATGTGGACATTTAATGGTTCACACGCGGACTGTTGATTGAAGTTGTGAACAATGCAAACTCCCTGCCAGGGAATGAAGTCGAACATTTGTTAATTCGTGATTTAATTAATGAATTCATTCACTTATTTTTCCATTCGTACGTTGAATGGTTCATACATGGGCTGGTGCTTGAAGTTGTGAACAATGCAACAATGTCAACTCCGTTGTTCAGTCGTTCATTCAGTCGCATCCTGCCGACAGAATTGGCTTACGATGCAAAACCATGATCATTATGTAGACACATTCAATAATTCATCCGTTGGTTAATTCAAGCATCCGTCCTTCCAGTCGTTCGTTAAACTATTTGAATGCATTCATGGCATGCGATTAAAGTGCCACGTGCTACAGCCTCAGGTCGCACAGTGGGACATACGGACCCCACGTCCCCGATTCTGTGGTGCATGCACAATTACGGAAATTACACAGGCACATTACATAAGCAGAGATACGCGCGCACTTGCAACCACACGAAGAGTAGGGGCAACATCGTCGTCATCGTCACGACCACGCTCCAGCTTCGATGATTTAATAATCACATTTAACTTAGCTCTTAAGGCATGAAATATGCATGTAAGAGGAGAAACAGTTAACTTTTATACAACGTAGCTAGAATTGTTGCCAGTTCAACGAATAGAGTTGACATGCACGGTGCATTTATTTATTCACTTAATTCCGTTGAAACAATGGGTACGGTGTGGCCAGAATCAATTTTCAACACTGCCTTTGTCTGTCCAGTGCTGATTCTCAGACAATGCACGTGTATTTATTTAATGCCGAGTCAACTAAGGAGAGGCTAAATACAATGGCTCATCGGAATTCATGGCTGGAATTGAACTCAAGCCAACGAGAATAGTAGCTGTTTTTGTTTCTGTTGTTGTCGTTGTTACTGTTGTTGTTATTATCAGTATGTAACTTCCTACTCCTGGGCAAAGGACTCTCGAAATGTACTTCCGTTTCCCCCCCTCCCAACACTCCTGTCCAGTCGTGACCTCCGAACTCTGCGATGTCTCTCCCCAGTCTCGCACTGTTTCGGTACACTTACGCCGGTTTAATGTCGTCTCTAATCAGCTGTCATCACGATGTGCCCTGCCCCATTTCCACTCGATTTCCCTTTGCTTTAACAACAGCAAAGGGACAAGAGTTGTCATTTGATTCTTTAACAGCAAAGGGAAAAGCATACCTTTTTAAGCAATTTTCTTATAATTAACTACCGTGTGTGTGTGTATGTTGAACTTCTTCTTTGGTTCTTTCGGTAAAGTCACGGTAAAGTCAAATAACACAATAATATTATTGTGTTATTTTATTTTATCAATTTATTATTTTATTCTCATTCTACGTGGTGACTTTACCGAAAGAACCAAAGAAGATGAATCCTTGCAGTCACGAAAGCTTTAAATCGAAATATGTTGAACTTCTTTCGCACGCTACGTAGCCAACCGTGACCTTCAGAGGTGCGGGGGAAGGACACCACATGAAACACAAAAGAGCACTTCTAAAGAAACGAGTTTTGTGTGTAATCCAATCGTTGGATCACGCACGCACACAATTGTTACCAAACACCATGACCACTACTTCTCACTATAGTAGCGTGTATGTGGCATGCAGGCAGTAGTGGGGCAGACCGCACGATAAACCGCGCTAGCCTAAATGTTGATTTGCCAGCCACACGGTGAATATAGAAAACTCTTGTCCTGCCCTCCACCCCATCGTCAGCCTCCCTCTCCCCACCGCTCCCCCGGGCCTGTCCTTCGCCAACTCACAGTGACCATTACCGTGAAGTACAACACCCCCCACCCCCCCATAATGGACAAAGCGTGGAGAACTATGTTTATGTTTATTTTACCAGGTAAGGCCCACTGAGCTCTATAGGTTCTTTTTCAGAGACGGGCTGGCTATCACAAACGACAGCTCAACGAAGTAGCTGTCCACATGGACATTTATAGCAGGCAAAGATACGCACGTCGATCCTAAATGTGTCTATTAAAAACAAAAGCAGAGGACCCGGAGAAAAATCCGCACGACCACGGGGAGAATACGCAAACTCCAAATATACAGCAGGTGTCAGAGTCGGCATCGAACCCACGACCTCCTGCGTACCTGGCGAGGTAGTTAACATCTCGCACACCACAGCTTTCATCTTGCCTACATCTAGCAGTGGATCGAACAAGGGCTGTTCTTTTTTTTTTTTTTACACCTACCCACCATACAGAGGATCCAAAACATCTACAGCACCCCTCTGCCTGCAGTGGAAATTGGAGGACTGCAGCTCCGACACACGTCTTCATTATAACACGGCCAAGAGATGACAACATTTCGACGCCGGCGCGAACTAGACGCGCCCATTTTAACTTCACATGGTTCTTCACGTTTTCCACCATTTGCATTTGAGCAACGTCTTTTAACTTCACATTCAAGTTTCCCTCACATTTCCCCTCAATTTTTTTTTACGACGTTGAGTACCTTTACTGTGCCCCCGGACGACTCATGCAAGAAAAAAAGTGAAAAATCGTAGAAACCGAAGACATCTTTTGAAGTCGCTTATTGCTCACCGACCGAGACAAAATTGGTTCAGGCGACACGCGTGGCACTCAACTTTGCTCAGAGGGAAAAACAATGCCCCCCCCCCCCCCCCCCCCCGTCTGTGCTGATAGCGATTACCTTGCGCGTGAAGAACGGCCCGGCCCCCCAAGCGACGTTTCCCCAACGAGAGGGTGGGGTGTGGGGGGTGCTATTCCCTCAGCTGAACACAGCGGCCATTTCGCCCCGGCCGCGTTTACAAAAAGATCAGCATGCTAAAATCGTCATCGTCATCATCATCATCGTCGTCGTCGTTTTGAAATAGATTTGACCCCTGCTAGGCAAGACGCATTCGACGTTTCAGTTTGGTCGCACGTGCCAGGCTCTAACGGCGATAAATAATATTCGATTAGGGTATCACCTACAGCCTTTGGTTAATCAACTGCTGAGTGTTGGCCGTTACCTACAGCGTTTCCATCGTTGGCTGTGCTGAGTCACCCCCCCCCCACCCCCCGAGAGAATCGTTTGCGTGCCGTGTCAGGAATGATTTCATACATTAACCCTTTCCCACTCTGATGACGCACGTGCGCGTGATCAGTTTTTTCCTCCTGATTCCGTTCCGATGACGTGCTATAATAAGAAGACGTACCAGGGCTCCCCCAGAAGGCTATGCGGGAGGGCGTGTGGCACAGTTTGGCACACAGTGATCATAGAGTGCGGTCATGTTGCTACAGTTCTCTGACGTGAGTACAATGTCTTTAAAAACAACGTTGCTACGCCTCTCTCTCAATAAAACTAATCCTGAACCACTTGCCCGTTTAGAGATTCAGCAGTGAACGGGACGCCCGCCCTGCAACTTGCAGATGTCTCAGAACGAGAAAGGGTTGCTTTCCATGGTCGTGGCCAAAAATTGGCAGTGCGTTCCTCTAACGTGACGGTAGTTTGCAAGGAACAAAATCCATGCAAGGTGACTAGAAACTCGATCGCTTTGCATTCTTGAATGTATATTGTGCCATTGGTATTGCTAGAGCGGTTTGACTTTGCTCTCTGAGCCTAAGGCACATCCACTAAATCCTGAGCTGCCTGCAAATTGCAAGTTTTCAAAAAAATGTAAACTATTATTATAATTAAAAAAAAACCTATGATAGCTCTGTGGGCCTTACCTGGTGGGTAAAAAGACACTCCTTATCAATCGACTGCTGGATCTGTGTATGTTGATCTTCTGCACAGTACGAAGCCAACTCTGCTAATCAGAGTTGCCCGAGGGGGGAGGAAGAAGGGGTGAGGAAAGGGGAGAGAGGGGACGGAGGGAGCAGGGGGGATCGTTACCAGGAAGAAGGCGATCCCAAGCCCCACGGTGAACCCGGCCAGGACGTCTCCCCAGTGGTTGCGGAACTCGGTGACGCGGTTGACCCCGGCGACGCAGGCCAGGCACAGCACGGCCAGGCACAGCACGGGCTTGGCGAGCCGTGTGCTCCTCGCCCGCACCGTGCTCGTCACGTACATCTGCACGCGGCACGTCGCCGGGACGGCATCGGCAGCCACCGTGCGAGCATCATCACCGTCGCCTTCGCCGACGTCATCATCACCGTCATCTTTACTGACGTCATCATCACCGTCGCCTTCGCTGACGTCATCATCACCGTCGCCTTCGCTGTCGTCATCATCACCGTCGCCTTCACTGACGTCATCATCACCGTCGCCTTCACTGACGTCATCATCACCGTCACCTTCACTGTCGTCATCATCACCGGCACCTTCACTGTCGTCATCATCACCGTCGCCTTCACTGACGTCATCATCACCGTCGCCTTCGCTGACGTCATCATCACCGTCGCCTTCACTGTCGTCATCATCACCATCGCCTTCACTGACGTCATCATCACCGTCGCCTTCACTGTCATCATCATCACCGTCGCCTTCACTGTCGTCATCATCGCCGTCGCCTTCACTGTCGTCATCATCGCCGTCGCCTTCGCTGACGTCATCATCACCGTCGCCTTCGCTGACGTCATCATCACCGTCGCCTTCACTGTCGTCATCATCACCGTCGCCTTTACTGACGTCATCATCACCGTCGCCTTCACTGTCGCCATCATCACCGTCGCCTTCACTGTCGTCATCATCACCGTCGCCTTCACTGTCGTCATCATCATCGTCGCCTTCGCTGTCGTCATCATCACCGTCGCCTTCGCTGACGTCATCATCACCATCGCCTTCGCTGACGTCATCATCACCGTCGCCTTCATTGACGTCATCATCACCGTCACCTTCACTGTCGTCATCATCGCCGTCGCCTTCACTGTCGTCATCATCACCGTCGCCTTCGCTGACGTCATCATCACCGTCGCCTTCACTGTCGTCATCATCACCGTCACCTTCACTGTCATCATCATCGCCGTCGCCTTAACTGTCGTCATCATCACCGTCGCCTTCACTGTCGTCATCATCACCGTCGCCTTCACTGTCGTCATCATCACCGTCGCCTTCACTGATGTCATCATCACCGTCACCTTCACTGACGTCATCATCACCGTCGCCTTCACTGTCATCATCATCACCGTCGCCTTCACTGACGTCATCATCACCGTCGCCTTCACTGTCGCCATCATCACCGTCGCCTTCACTGTCGTCATCATCACCGTCGCCTTCACTGTCGTCATCATCACCGTCGCCTTCACTGACGTCATCATCACCGTCACCTTCACTGACGTCATCATCACCGTCGCCTTCACTGTCATCATCATCACCGTCGCCTTCACTGTCATCATCATCACCGTCGCCTTCACTGTCGTCATCATCACCGTCGCCTTCACTGTCGTCATCATCACCATCGCCTTCACTGCCGTCATCATCACCGTCGCCTTCACTGTCGTCATCATCACCGTCGCCTTTAATGACGTCATCATCACCGTCGCCTTCACTGTCGCCATCATCACCGTCGCCTTCACTGTCATCATCACCGTCGCCTTCACTGTCGTCATCATCACCGTCACCTTCACTGACGTCATCATCACCGTTGCCTTCACTGTCATCATCATCATCGTCGCCTTCATTGACGTCATCATCACCGTCGCCTTCACTGTCGTCATCATCACCGTCGCCTTCACTGTCGTCATCATCACCGTCGCCTTCACTGTCGTCATCATCACCGTCACCTTCACTGTCGTCATCATCACCGTCGCCTTCACTGACGTCATCATCACCGTCGCCTTCACTGTCGTCATCATCACCGTCGCCTTCACTGACGTCATCATCACCGTCGCCTTCACTGTCGTCATCATCACCGTCACCTTCACTGTTGTCATCATCACCGTCGCCTTCACTGTCGTCATCATCACCGTCACCTTCACTGTCGTCATCATCACCGTCGCCTTCACTGACGTCATCATCACCGTCGCCTTCACTGACGTCATCATCACCGTCGCATTCACTGTCGTCATCATCACCGTCGCCTTCACTGTCGTCAACATCACCGTCGCCTTCACTGTCGTCATCATCACCGTCGCCTTCACTAACGTCATTATCACCGTCGCCTTCGCTGACGTCATCATCACCGTCACCTTCACTGTCGTCATCATCACCGTTGCCTTCACTGTCGTCATCATCACCGTCGCCTTCATTGACGTCATCATCACCGTCGCCTTCACTGTCGTCATCATCACCGTCGCCTTCACTGTCGTCATCATCACCGTCGCCTTCACTGTCGTCATCATCACCGTCACCTTCACTGTCGTCATCATCACCGTCGCCTTCACTGTCGTCATCATCACCGTCGCCTTCACTGACGTCATTATCACCGTCGCCTTCGCTGACGTCATCATCACCGTCGCCTTCACTGTCGTCATCATCACCGTCGCCTTCACTGTCGTCATCATCACCGTCGCCTTCACTGTCGTCATCATCACCGTCACCTTCACTGTCGTCATCATCACCGTCGCCTTCACTGACGTCATCATCACCATCGCCTTCACTGTCGTCATCATCACCGTCGCCTTCACTGACGTCATCATCACCGTCGCCTTCACTGTCGTCATCATCACCGTCACCTTCACTGTTGTCATCATCACCGTCGCCTTCACTGTCGTCATCATCACCGTCACCTTCACTGTCGTCATCATCACCGTCGCCTTCACTGACGTCATCATCACCGTCGCCTTCACTGACGTCATCATCACCGTCGCATTCACTGTCGTCATCATCACCGTCGCCTTCACTGTCGTCATCATCACCGTCGCCTTCACTGTCGTCATCATCACCGTCGCCTTCACTGACGTCATTATCACCGTCGCCTTCGCTGACGTCATCATCACCGTCACCTTCACTGTCGTCATCATCACCGTTGCCTTCACTGTCGTCATCATCACCGTCGCCTTCATTGACGTCATCATCACCGTCGCCTTCACTGTCGTCATCATCACCGTCGCCTTCACTGTCGTCATCATCACCGTCGCCTTCACTGTCGTCATCATCACCGTCACCTTCACTGTCGTCATCATCACCGTCGCCTTCACTGTCGTCATCATCACCGTCGCCTTCACTGACGTCATTATCACCGTCGCCTTCGCTGACGTCATCATCACCGTCGCCTTCACCGTCGTCATCATCACCGTCGCCTTCACTGTCGTCATCATCACCGTCGCCTTCACTGTCGTCATCATCACCGTCGCCTTCACTGTCGTCATCATCACCGTCGCCTTCACTGTCGTCATCATCACCGTCACCTTCACTGTCGTCATCATCACCGTCGCCTTCACTGTCGTCATCATCGCCGTCGCCTTCACTGTCGTCATCATCACCGTCACCTTCACTGTCGTCATCATCACCGTCACCTTCACTGTCGTCATCATCACCGTCGCCTTCACTGTCGTCATCATCACCGTCACCTTCACTGTCGTCATCATCACCGTCACCTTCACTGTCGTCATCATCACCGTCACCTTCACTGACGTCATCATCACCGTCACCTTCACTGTCACCATCATCACCATCGCCTTCACTGTCGTCATCATCACCGTCACCTTTACTGTCGTCATCATCACCGTCACCTTCACTGTCGTCATCATCAACGTCACCTTCACTGTCGTCATCATCACCGTCACCTTCACTGTCGTCATCATCACCGTCACCTTCACTGTCGTCATCAACACCGTCACCTTCACTGTCGTCATCATCACCGTCACCTTCACTGTCGTCATCATCACCGTCACCTTCACTGTCGTCATCATCACCGTCACCTTCACTGTCGTCATCATCACCGTCACCTTCACTGTCGTCATCATCACCGTCACCTTCACTGTCGCCATCATCACCGTCGCCTTCACTGTCGCCATCATCACCGTCGCCTTCACTGTCGCCATCATCACCGTCACCTTCACTGTCGCCATCATCACCGTCACCTTCACTGTCGTCATCATCACCGTCACCTTCACTGTCGTCATCATCACCGTCACCTTCACTGTCGTCATCATCACCGTCACCTTCACTGTCGTCATCATCACCGTCACCTTCACTGTCGTCATCATCACCGTCACCTTCACTGTCGTCATCATCACCGTCACCTTCACTGTCGTCATCATCACCGTCGCCTTCACTGACGTCATCATCACCGTCGCCTTCACTGACGTCATCACCGTCGCCTTCACTGACGTCATCATCACCGTCACCTTCACTGTCGTCATCATCACCGTCGCCTTCACTGTCGTCATCATCACCGTCGCCTTCACTGTCGTCATCATCACCGTCGCCTTCACTGTCGTCATCATCACCGTCACCTTCACTGTCGTCATCATCACCGTCACCTTCACTGTCGTCATCATCACCGTCACCTTCACTGTCGTCATCATCACCGTCACCTTCACTGTCGTCATCATCACCGTCACCTTCACTGACGTCATCATCACCGTCGCCTTCGCTAACGTCATCATCACCGTCGCCTTCGCTGACGTCATCATCACCGTCGCCTTCACTGTCACCATCATCACCGTCGCCTTCACTGTCGTCATCATCACCATCGCCTTCACTGCCGTCATCATCACCGTCGCCTTCACTGTCGTCATCATCACCGTCGCCTTTACTGACGTCATCATCACCGTCGCCTTCACTGTCGCCATCATCACCGTCGCCTTCACTGTCGTCATCATCACCGTCGCCTTCACTGTCGTCATCATCATCGTCGCCTTCGCTGTCGTCATCATCACCGTCGCCTTCGCTGACGTCATCATCACCATCGCCTTCGCTGACGTCATCATCACCGTCGCCTTCATTGACGTCATCATCACCGTCACCTTCACTGTCGTCATCATCGCCGTCGCCTTCACTGTCGTTCATCATCACCGTCGCCTTCGCTGACGTCATCATCACCGTCGCCTTCACTGTCGTCATCATCACCGTCACCTTCACTGTCATCATCATCGCCGTCGCCTTAACTGTCGTCATCATCACCGTCGCCTTCACTGTCGTCATCATCACCGTCGCCTTCACTGTCGTCATCATCACCGTCGCCT